CCCCTGCCAAACCTCACGGGGCTCCATCTGTCCTCGCTGGCAGAGACCACCCAGCACCACCACATCCCGCTGCCATCCCTGGCAACTGAACCCAGCCTGGTGTTACGTGTCCCCTCCTCCCTTTCCCATGCTGTTTGGGAGTCTCCGCTTTACCATCCCAGCTCCAGGCTGGCTGTGCATCACCTGTGCCAGCCAGGGAAAGCACCGGCTGCCCCCTCACTGCCCCCAGCACTGAGGATGTGGCCACAAGGGCCTGGCTCCCCCATACTCCCACAACGCTCACAGCTCTCACCCTTTCGACTGGCCATTGGCTCGGTTCTCTGCGAATTTCAGCTCCACTACGTCGTAGACCCCGATGGAGCGGATGGTCTGGATCAGCTGCTGGTCAGTCGTCCACTGAGGGGAAGAGGGGAGAGGCTGGCGTCAGCTCACGCAGCCCTTCGCGGTGCCCCGGTGCTCCCCAGCTAACCCAGGCTCAGCGCTCAGGGCGCTGGGGCATGGCATTTGAGTACAGACACCCTCAGAGCCCCTACAGGGAGTTGAAAAACCAACTTCGAGTCTGAAACGGGCCCCCCGCATGGCTACCAGAGGGGTCTCTGTTTTCTGGACAAGACAGAGCCTTCCCAGAACTGTCCCCGTATCCATCAACAGGAGAAGGAGGCTCGCCCGTGCAGGCTCCAAGAAGGCAGAGCCAGGCCGTGGTGCGAGGGCGACACTACAGCTGCTGCCCACTCGCCCCAGACTGGATCTGAAGACCCTCAGGGCTACGAATCCCATTTCCCTGAGGATCACAAGGTCAAGCCCAGCTCACAACTCGGCTTGGAACACTGGGTCAGTGTGGACTGAGGAGGAACACCACCCCCAAAGAGCCCTGCAGCCCCTCAGGCGTTTCTCTGGAGGACCCCCATCTGCGTACGCACCACAGGAGACCCCAACTACTCAGGCAGGTGGTCTGGAGACCCCCTCCACAGGCAAGCACAGCCAGGCAGCGATCCCACTCACCCAGGAGAAGCTGCCCACGTAGACGGCGGCTCTCTTGTTGCGCAGCCCGCTATACGTGTACAGGATGGCGGGAGATTTGCTGTTGGGCTTGGGGGACGGCTCCTGACGGATTTCTGGGGGTGCCTCCGAGCTGCTGGTGCGGCTTTCGGGGGGCTGCGAGCTGGCTGCTAACACGTCGTCGTACAGGTCCATCTGATCAGCATTACTAAACTCAGAGTCCTGTGAGGGGAGACACCGTCAGCACCTCCGCACGGGTGAGACCCCAGGAGCGAAACCGCAGTTTGGAAAGGGACCTGTGGGCTGTTAAGAGCCTAAACGGGGCTGTGGAGGTCCACCCCATCCTGCTGGAGCCCTCCATCACCCCCCAGCAATGACCATCAGGCAGCAGCCAAACACCAACCACCACAGGAGATGCTTCAAAGTCATCTCACGGTGCCGCTCTGCCGCAGGTGCCCCACCGTGCCAGGAGGGCTGCGGCTGAGTGATGCCGGAGATTAGGAAGCCTCCTTCATTGTTTGCAAACCAGTTGTCCCAATTCACCGAGTGCCAGCACGCACAAGCTCCTTTGAGGCAGCCCAAAGGTTTAGTGCCCAAACCACTTGTCTTGGGTCTGTTCGCAGTTAGAAGGCGGTGAATCACTGCAAACAGATCCAGCGCCTGTTATCACTCACAAGCCAACTCCTCTTGCCCGGAGCCCTGTTCCCTCAGTGGCACGCCACTGTCTCCTTGACAGCGTGTCCCTCTTTCAGCACTTCATTTTTGCTATGACAATTCCCTGCGCTTCCCCCCAGCCCAGTAGACCCCTCTCAGCACGGTACTGCTCTCCCTCGCTACTCCACTGCCCTGCAAAAACAGGCCATGCCCTACGCTTATGACTTGTGCGATCCACCACAGCGTCTGCTCTTCCTCCTGGGCAATGTGGAAATCCCTCCTGCCCACCTCCAGCTCTCTGACCCACTGAGCATTAACACAAGCCCCACCAAGCATTAACACGAGCCCCACAGCAACGGGATCAACATCTCCTTTCCCCAGCAATGAGGATTATCGGTGCCCCGAAGACAGGGTGACGGGCTCTGCTTTGCGATGCTTGACATAACCCTGGAGCATTTTTTACACGTAAGGAGGTGAAGAAGGGAGGAATATTCCAGGAAGCAGAACCACGAGGCTTTATCCCACTGGCAACCTGCACTGGCTTGATTTTCCTCCCCCCAACTTCAATTACAAGCCTTTTGCTTTTCTGTCCGCTCCTCCGCTGAGCTCCAGCACACGCCTCGCACGAGCGGAGGACCGGCTCACTGGGATGGCAGCTGTCCTGAGCAACGGGGCAAGATGCAACTTGCTGCTCTGGGAGGCTACCAGGAAGAAGCTCACCTTTTGTAAGCGTGTGAGGGCAAGAGTTCAGCGGTGGAAAACCAAACGCCCTCAACGAACGAGCCTCTTGCTCCTTGGCAGACACACGCTTCCCAATTCCAGCCTGGGGGCTGCGCACCCACCCTCAAACCCTGCTCCCCCCTCATACACCACCGTCCGCTCACTCGGTGTTTGAGGCCGGCAGAGCCCTCTTCAGGGTAGGAGCTACAGACGCCGTCTGCACGCACAGATGCACGCACGCCATCTCCCCTCCGCAGCGCAGCCTTTCACGGCACGAACCAGCCACCGAGGAAGCTTCTGAGCTGTGAACTCAAGTGTCCCAGATCTGCCTTCCAATTCCCACTCTGTTCCGGGCTATATTTAATTTGGAGTGTACAGCGAGCGCTGTGTTTACTACGGATCTTCAGACTAATTGCTCACCCGGATTCAGCGTGTGCTGAGCGCCGTTCCATGCTACAAATTACTACGTTACTATCTGTCACACGGGAGCAACGCACAGGTCCTGTGCGGCACAAAAACCAGAAGATCTGCTCCCAAATTTTTAATTCCAGGACTTCAAAGGCAGCTTGGACAACATCTTCTGCTAGAGATAGCGTGAGGTGGTTAAATCCCCTACACTCTGACAGCCAGGGAACCGCACACATAAAACACGGCCCTTTGTGAGCTCAGGGGCAGAGACGGGGAAAGGCGCTCAGCACATGGCTTTCAAAGGGTCACAGAAATATAAAAATCAAACCATTTTTCCCCCAGACACTCTTCTTGACAGCAACATCTATTTCTAAGGCAAGCTGTAACTTTTGCATCCAGCTATTTCAGCTGCAGAGCTGATAAAAAAGGTGACAAGAATTTCAACAGGGAGCAGTATTTTTGCGCTCCTTCTCAAAACAGCTCAACTGTTTGTTTAATCCGCCTCCCACACTCCTACCCCCACCAAGCACCTTTGGACATGGTCCAAGGCTGGAAGATTTCTGCCTGAAAGTTTCAGAAAGTGAAGAACAAAAATAGGGGGGCTAGGGGAGAAATCGCTCGGAAGCCCTCCGTTATGCTACTTAAGGGATGCTTCAGCTCGGGAGGTTTTTAAAGATCCTCTGGTATCTTGAAAAACGCTGTCTTTTAAATAACAGCCTGATGGAAAGATGGTGTAGAAGTACTCACGGCCCAAGCGCTCACAGTCCACTCTGCCGGTCTCTGCCCTTGCTGTCACGCTGAATTTTCAGATCATTGCTTGAAACACACGGTAGCAAGAGGCTTCTCGCGTCACCCACCGACTCGCCAGCGAACACCTTCACTCTGAACCCACGTGGGACGCCTTGCAAGGTGCCCGAGGATGAAGCTGGGCACCGTCAGCAGTAATTACCACGTGTGCCATGGGATTTGGAACCACGCTGGCATCCCTGGTGTGCCACAGGGACCATGGGGCAGCCATGGCACCTTCCCACCGCGCTTTGATCCCATGCGTGGCATCGTGCACAAGTTAACTCTGGGTTTCTTCCTGCCACCGCACAGCCCGAGGCGAGCGAGATGCTGGAGTCGACAGCCTCGATAATCACTTCCAGCTTTAACAAGTCTCCATCTACTTGGTCGCGTCAAAGATCTTTTGTGTACTGTCCCCCAAACCCTCCAGCTAAATCTTTCCACGCCGTTTCCTGCTGCCCAGCCAGTCTTGCTCCATCCTCCTCTCAACGCTGCTTAACTTCTTTACTCCCAAAGACTTGACCAGGACCAGACCAGACCCATCAGAGACCCTCTCAGCTCCCCAGCAGACATTCCCGCATCAACTCAAGCCACTGCTTTTGTCACCCTTCCTGCTCCAGCCCTCCCAGTGAGCAAGGCTTTGCAGGAAAGCCTACCTGCAAGCAAGGGCAGGACAGGCAGCACTGGCCCGTCTCCGCAAAGAGTCTGTGAAGCAGCAGCAGAATTCTCCTGTCAAGTCATCCTACTCGTCCGTTGTCCATCGGTTGTCCTCCGAGACCTTACAGACTTTCCAACTCACACCTGCCAATGTCACAGCTCTCTCCTTCTCCAGACAAAAAGACAGCACGTCCACTTTCACTGCTTCCCTTTGGCGTTCACACTAATTGCCATAAATGAAGTTTCCTGGTTATTCTGTGCACTTTTAAACGCCAGCCCAGCGACCTCCACGCATTTTCTTAATCTGCAGCTTCCATCCTTATTCCCGCAGCTCTCCACCTCTCCCTTCTGCCCCCACCTCCTGGTATACCTATTTCCCAATTCTGTTAAAAGCCAACTGCATAAAAACATACAAATTGAGGCCGTTCCTAAGCCAGAGCAGTTCTGTTTGGTCCCAGCACAGCACGAGGTTGTTTAATACATGGGGAATCGGGTTTATTCCAGGAGTTTTTCAGGAAGGATGCAGGAAGCGGTATTTCAGAGTCAGAGAGTGTCCGGGCAGGGCTGCCCGGTTGCTACAGGCAGCACAGACATTTGCTTTGCAACTCACCTTTCTAGTGAGGTTCCTGTTATTTTGGCAATGTTACAGCCAGCTTGGACCCTGCCCTTCTCCAAAGCAATTGCTCTCAGCAGAGAACTCCTGCTTCTTCCCAGGCGGCTGGAAAGCACCTCGCAGTCCCCTCGACTCCGAGGCAGTTAACAGAGTTTCCACCATTTCACCTTACCCTGAATGTCCAACCCACAGCGTATTCTCACCTGATAACCTCCCACCTTCTCAGAACAAAGCGTTTATCACCCTCAGCTCCTCTTCAGCCTTCTGGGAGCTCACAGCGATTCCTTCTTCCGCGTGGTTTTCTCTCTAATTCCTGCGGCTTGCCCTCTAGTGCAGACCAACTTTTCTCCATGGGCTTTCCACGGCAGTTTTTAGTCTTTGAACATTTGTGTTCACACTTGCTCTCCCAGATCCCCAAACTCTCTAAAATCTGCTTCTCTTAACAGCTACAACAGCCTTCCTTCTCTGTCATTTCTTCCTGCAAGTCCCAGACAGACCCAGGGTGGGAGAGGCGGCACACGGGCATCTCTCCAACTGCAGCGAGTCCCTGCCACAGCTTCCCAGCCTTGGTGGTCCCGCAGAATTGGTGCTCTGCATCCCCTCACTGTGCAGTCCCCCGGCAGTGCCTCTTCCAGTTTGGATTTCTCATTTCTCCAACCAGGCTGCAGCTGTCCTCTTCAATCCCTGCTCATCACTGCCCTGGCAAATATTCTAGTCCAAACCCTGCCTCCCTCTCCCAAACGTTTTGTGACCAGCCACATGTTGAACCTTCAGTGAAACCCGCAGAAAGACCCTTTATTCATGGCTCGAGATGGCAGCCACCAGAATTTAGGAATGGGCCAAGCCCTCGGTTCCCCACAGGGACTCTCCAGTGCTGTACCACCCTTTCCCGGGCACACCGGTCACATCTTCTGCCTCTGCTCAATATGACCACCCCAGCCGGCAGGTATGTCCACGCTAACTGCTCCAGCACCTCGCTAACGAGCTGGCCAACACCAGTTACAGTGCTCTCCCCCGGAAAGCGGGATCTGTAGCCCCCAGCCCCGTGGCCGGACCACGCAACTCACCTGGTTGAACTCCTCGTCGGCGTAGATATCAATCAGATCCACTCCCTCGGACATATTTCCAGAGACGGGAGCAGGAACCCGGGCTGGGACCGGGGCGAAGCAGGAAGACGAAAGGTGCACTGCAGTGGGGT